AATTCTAAGAAAAAATAAATTATTAAATAAAGAGAATAAAATAAGTCCCAGATTGATTTCTTACACATCTTTATGAATGTAATCAAAAACATGCTTTTTATTAAAGATACCACCTCTCTCCTTCTGACCAAATCTATTCTTTATAACTCATTCATAAATCACCAGCTGAGAAAAGTGGTGACACACACAAAGTTAGGCTGAAATATGATCAGGAGCCTCATAAAGAAAATATTATTTGTGTCGTGAGCACATGGTCAAAAAAGTGATTTAGCCAGACATTAGATGATTAAGCATAATAGGCCAGTGAGCTATTAAGTACTGAAATGTGTATCCTTTTCCACAATAGCACCCTTTCCATGAGGCAGAGCCATAACTTGAAAGTGCTTTTGACAATGATCTGCTAGTACTTCTTTTCATCTTCATAAGACATTCTATTTTATTTTAACTTAAAAAAGATAAGGGTTTTTTTTAATTTATTGTAAAGAAATTGTTTGAACTAAATTGATATCACATGCGAAACTTTTTGTCCCATATCTTTCATATAGACCGAGCAAAACCTTCCCCGCTCCTCCACCGCCTCTACCCTATTCCCAGCCAACAACAAGCACTGTACTGGCTGGCGCTACCCCAGGCAGACGCAGCATCCCTACTCCTCCACTGTGTCCATCAATTCCAACAGCTTCATCAGCTGCAGGCTACCCCCGGACACTTGGTCATTCGGCCACCAGCTTAACAAGTTTGCCACTTGCCGCAACCGGTTCGGCAAACAGTAGCCTCCTTTTGCTGGCCGGCAGTGATAGTGGCTATCGCCGGCGGCAGCCAGATCGTAGTAGAGATGGTTGCGATGGTGACGATGAAATAGATGACGAAGATGGTGAAGAAGAGGGAGGAGTAGTCGCTCGTGCTAGAGTACAGCCAGGATATGGGGAGCGCCATAAGCCAAATGCGTTTCCCAGCCTAAAAAGCCGAGAAATGGAAATGTCAGGGCAGCACCGTAGAGTCGGAAGCAGC